GGTCTAAATTCTCTCTCCAGAATCTGGTAATTCGCGACACCAACTTAGTGTTCTTCTTCTTTTATGTGCTGTGTCCCTTTAGGACGTAGGCGGTCACGACTCTCCACTTCTTCCTATCCTTTATAGCTCTCAATAAGTTTTGTCTTTTTGTTATTTTTCCTAAACCCTGTTCTGTCATCCAACTGTTTAAGCCTCTTAAGTATGTCACGCATTGCTTTCCCTCTCTCCGCCCTGTGAGTATCAGATTTCCCAAGCCCTTCTCTCTCATTACGTGTCCCAGACATTTTAGCTGCCTCTCCCTGATAAGTTTCCTCTTTATTTGCATCCTCTCTTAAATTCCATGTTCGGTTCATGGTATCCTTAGCATCTTTCTGTAGAGCCACACCTATGTTGCCTGGTGTCTCTTCTTCAACTTTCAGGAGACCGTCCAACATTCGCTGCCGTAAAGGAGGACAGATATCACGTGCTAGTTCAATACACTTTTCTTTTTTACCAACAAAACTGTTGTGATGATATAACCCAACTTCCCCATTCACGATAATGGACGGACTGGTTGCCGATTAAGTACGACCACAGCGGACAGTCGAGAAGGTCTTCGTTTGTTAACACCTATTGAGGTTAGCATACTCCCGACTCTGTCTCTGTACTTGACACACCTACATCCGATTATAAACTTATTATTGAAAACCAACACTCGGGTTACTTTGTTTATTATATCTTGCACGTGATATAACAAAAACACTCCCGTCTCGTAATATTCTGCCTAGCTTTTTGGAATGAGTCTTTCGCCATCCCAATACGTCTTTGGATCTCAGCATCGCACATTCCGTATTTTGTGAGAACACTTCCCAAATATTTAAATTTCAGCAGCTGTTTGATTATGTTGTCTCGGACCTGTAAGTCGCATTTTTGGCTCATCTTTTTGCTGATGACCATGCACTCTGTTTTCTTGTAGTCTGTTCATTTAGCTCTCCTTCGCTACCTTCTGTAAGACGTTTTGTAGTTTGCTTTCCGTGTCTGCTATCAGCTTCTTTTCTCGCACTTCCCGTCTCCATTCCCGATCCATACTTTCAAGCCAACTTTAATATGCAAACATTTAAATGCCATGTCAATCGCTATGTGTTGTCTTCCTGATTACTCTTTTCTCTGAACCCTTTCTGAGATGAGCTATTGTAATTATTTACATTATGATATGTGGAACTAGAACAATCTACCCCGGTGGACGAAATAAAGGGTTCAGTTCGAAATTCGAATCACCTGACGAAGGCTAGAGCGTACAATGGTCGAAACGTCGTGAACATTATAATAAAGATGAGAACATTCGAAACAACGTAAATAATGTAAATAAATACCACATGACAAGAGGCCCATATTAACATGCAAAAAAATGATCTAATTTATTCAGGTATGTGGTAATGTTAATATTAATATTAGCCGTTTTCTTATAAGGAAATAGTTGATATTGATTAACCGAGCAGCCATTACTGCTTTCGGTTGAAGTTTATTAAATCTTTCTCTTAAAAAGAAATCTATTTTAGGAAAATAGTTTTCTCAAGTCTTGTATCTCTTACCTGTCTTGTCAGTACTAAATAGCGTTTTCCTTTCAATCGAAGCAGTGTGGAATTTCAACGTCTTGATTATGACATTATTTTCTCTTTGAGTTAAATGTGGTATCCAATTCAGTTGTTGCTGCTGTTAGCCCACACGTGATACGGTTACTGCTGTATAGTTCAGGTCTTTGTGATTCTATAGTTCTAGTCCACAATGTTCAAAGAAATAGAGATTTACTTGACCCCTCCCCCTATCCACTGAGTCAGGTTGTGACACAAAGTCAGTTTTTAACGTGGGGACCCGAGTCTTTTCACTCTGGCCGCTGGTCCAAGCTGGTCTTATCTGGTCATATCTTGTCCAAGCTGGTCAGATTTGTTCTAAGCTAGTCATAGCTGGTCTTGGCTTGCCATAGCTGGTCCAAACTGGTCAGAGCCGGTCCAAGCTAGCCGTAGCCGTGATACCACCAGCACAGGGACTGATCCCTGTGCCAGGACATCCATATGACAGTCTCGATCAGACGGGGCTATTCAAGTATAGGTCGATCTCGAGCTTTCAAAATTATATTTTAGTTTCATAGTAATTTCAGTGGTTGGGCTAAGCTAACTCTAGTGAATCCTACTGTACGCCCAATTTAATTTTCTCCTGTATGGGTTTACTGTGATGTATGCTTCTTTGGCTTGAATCTTAAGGTTAAGCAACGTCCAGCCTGATCAGTACCTAGATTGGTAAGCGCTTAAGATATACCAGCTGCAGTTAGTTTGCATGTGTTGGTGCTATAATGGATTACGCGTTCGGTAATGGAAGTCGAATAGCCGAGGTACAATTACAGTCGATTTTATTATGTACAATTTTGCTCAAATAAAAAGCAAAAGTATGAATCACCATCTTCTCCTCCAAGCTATGAATTAATTAGTGGAATTGGAATAGTAAATCATTAGTATCTGAAAATGTTTTTCAGATCTAAAAATTATTTTGTGGCTTTAAATAACCTGAAAAAGGTTGATAAACAATAAAAAAAAGAAATACCGTTGACTGAATCTCTATAAAAATTTATCGTAATGTTTTGAAACTCTTTTAAAATCTTTGTTCACACCCAATATATTGTTTGATACCGTAACTTTGGACACTAATGTATATGTCCCAATCCTCATAAATATGCTGGGTATATTGTAAGTGAGGGTAATATGCTGTCTAAGTCCTCCGCTAGGAGTAGTTTACCTACTTCACGCCGCTGGCGAGTATTGTATTTTGTTGATATTATAAGGATTGCTATTTAATTTTCAAACTTTGTTTCGGTTATTTTTCATTCAATAATCCTTACTTCTTTACAACAACTGGAAAAAGGTGATTGAAGAAGAGACAAACAACAGAAAAAGGAAAGAAAAAAGAAAAAAAGACCAATATCTATCTATCTATCTATCTATCTATCTATCTGTGACGTCCCTAAACACAGCCTTCGCTCGCTCCTCGCTGCTTCGTTCGGGTGTCGCCGCTCCAAACGTGACGTCCGCCTGTTTGCGTCAGTCGTGTTGTCCCGTCCTGTGACGACCAACTGGCTTGGTATCGGTCGCGGCACCCAAAAGGTTGGGGCTGTAATGCAAATCGAGTTCAAACGGGGGTGACACCGCACAAATATGCATAAAAGAAAATAAAATGATAACTCAAAAGTTCAAGGTATCAAAAAAAGGATAACAAAACTTTATGTCTAGTTGCTGGATACATAGGACTGCGTCTATCTCCCGACCCGTTATATGGATTGTGACACGCTGTTCTTTTGTTAGGCGAGTTTTAACACTTTAAGTTGTCTGTTCTTCAAGAAATTGGTTCTTGGTGTGTCTTCAGGCGAAAGTCGAAAAAACTTATCTTGGTGGTCTGGATCTAAGTCGCTCTTCAAAATAATTGTTCTTGGATTGAAGATGAGTTCGGAAGCTGCGCGAATCTTAGCTGCGAGGCCTGATTCAACTGAACACTCTGGATTGAACTCCTCTCTGGAACTCTCTGAACTGTCTCAACCGAACTGAACTCTGATTTTCGCTCGCTGCGACTTTGCTTATATGGACGCCGACCAAAACCGGGGTGGGTTTGTCGGCGTCGGAGGTTCCTCGATAATTCTGAATACATATCCACTTCTTTTATTTTTGGTTAGGAATTTTCTACTTCTTTCCATTTTTGGGAGTCTTCTCTTACTCCCACCTTCTCACCATACTTCAGAGGGGCGTCAACTGTCCTCCCCACTTCTTCGTAGCAACCTCTCATACCCATCCTCTAGGTGGGCGGCGACAGCTTCCCTCCTTGCGTCACATGATCACCACTCGGCCAATGAAATCCAGCCGGGCGTGTGCGATCCCACGGGCTTTGTTTCAGGAAAAAAAAATATATCTTGCTAAAAATAATTTATCTTTTTCTTTTCCTTTTCTTTCCTTAATCGCAGCTCTCACCTTCTCTGGCCGCAAACAGAACAATGCGACTAGTAGTGTCATAAATTCTATTCTTCATCTGGTCCTCGTCAGTCAGATTTTCGTTAATTATCAGAATGGGTGGTCAGAAAAACATCGTCCTCTCGAAAGAAACAGCTCCATTGTTCTAGTCATACTTTGGTGCAAATTTCTGATAACATAGTTCTGTTATCGCAGCCAAAGATGTCTTGTCAAAAACAACGGTTAGCCGTTACATCGTGTGCGGCTTGGCAGACGACACAGTTAATTTTTCATATCTATCCAAAGCCCTGTATTTCACCTATTCTTTGTCAATTATCAAAATAACATTTTCAATTGGAGTTTTCTTGGCTAGTCGGTCTGTGGTTTGCTTAATCAGATTTTTTGCCCGCATTAAGCGGTTGTTATCTATCCCCGATAACACAAGTTCGTCGCCGATTCCCTTATCCACTTAGAATTTTTCTGCCATGATAATGACACTTTTCGCCATTTGCTACTTATCAAAATAACATTGTCAATTGTCTCTGGTCGTGGGCGGTTCATTTTATCATCTACGTTTAAGTCTCGCCTCTCCTTTCCTTTCTTTCCTTTCTCTTTTTCCTTTCTTTTCTTTTTTTTCCCTGGTAAATGATGCCACATATCTCTGTCCCTTTTGTTTGTTTGTTTGTTTGTTTCTTTCTTTCTTTCTCTGCCGCTTTTCTATCTATCTATCGAGTTATCTATCTCCCTCCGTCCCTTTTCTTTGTTTCTTTCTTTGTTTCTTTCTTTGTTTCTTTCTCCGTCCCTTTTCTATCTATCTATCTATCTATCTATCTATCTATCTATCTCCGTCCCTTTTCTTTGTTTGTTTGTTTGTTTGTTTCTTTCTTTCTTTCTCCGTCCCATTTCTATCTATCTATCTATCTATCTATCTATCTATCTATCTATCTATCTGTCCCTTTTCTTTGTTTGTTTCCTTCTTTCTTCCTCCCTTTTCTATCTATCTATCTATCTATCTGTCTATCTATCTATCTTGTTTTCTACCGTAACTATGAAAAATAATGGGTATTTCCCAACCCTCATAGATAGGTTATACACTAATGTAAGTTGGGGTAATATGCAGCCTAAGTAGTCTACCACTAGCAGTTGTTTACCTACTGCACGCCGCTAGCGAGTATTGTATTTTGTTGATGTTATAAAGATTACCATTTCATTTCCAATCCCCGTGTTGGTTATTCCTCATTCAGTAACCTTTTCTAGCTTACAACATATATATATATGTGTATGTGTGTGTGTGTGTGTGTGTGTGTGTGTATGTGTGTGTGTGTGTGTGTATTTCTGGGCGTATTTCTGCGTCCGTGACGGTGGGAGATGTTGATATTAAAAGAAAAAAAAATATTTTCGCTTTATACTCCATCTTCAGTTGCCATACAGATTTCGTTTTCGGCTCGGTGATATTTTCTGGTGCCACATTCATTGTCTCTTGAGAATAAGATAACATAAGGTTTGGACGGAAGCGTCCGAGGATTTTCTGCTTCCGTACACTTCTTATTAAACGGAACAACGTTGCCGAGATTGGATAAACCTCAGCTTGAAAATACATTTGCCTCTACATAAACTAAACAAAATAATAATTCCATACACTGGTATGTACTTCTGGCTTATAAATAAGGGAAAACTCGATTGAATAAGACTATATATATATATATATATATATATATATATATATATATATATATATATATATATATTCTATAGCCAGTTTCGACATTGTGGCTTTCTCGACCATAAATCTGTCTCGCTAAAAGCTTATTTTACCAGCCGAAGGAAAAAAACACATTCTTCTTTTAAGTAATCAGTTCAAGTTATAAAATATCCATTTTTATTTCTCTTAGGCATAAAAGAAGAACATTTATCTTCTCTTTCTTTTTAATTCAACAACTACAATGCATGGAATACTTTATTTGGACGGCTTTCCTAGTCTTCTTCTTGCAAGGTTTCAATCTCTTTCAACTCCGGGTTCCCTCTGATGGATGTCGTATTTTTGAATATCTACGATGGAGAAAAATCGAAGGGTAGTCGAACAGTTATTGTGGGCAGCTGGGTTTTTGTCCAATTTGGCATAAAAAAAGAAGAAATGAAGGCAGCCAAAGAACGCATTTTGACATCATTCAAGAAAATTGGAAGTTAATAAAACTATTCGAAATAAACAAGGATAAATTCGGCACACGCACAAGCGGATTTGCGCACACACACACACAAGCACACCCACACACACATATATATATATATATATATATATATATATATATATATATATATATATATAGAGAGAGAGAGAGAGAGAGAGATAGATAGATAGATAGATAGATAGATAGATAGATAGATACACACACACACACACACACACACTCACACTTTTTTGTTGGTCTTGGCCTTCCCGCTAACTTGGAGCATGTGCATGTAAATTTTGATGCAAATCCGTCGAAATTTGCGGCCGTGAATTCGTTACACACACACACACACACACACACACACACACACACATATATATATATATATATATATATATTTCCCAATGATGTTTAATTTGGGATAATTCCAAGGAGGCTATGAAGCCAAAGAGAGCTCAATGTAAGAACAGAGCAGTATTAGAATAATAATGAACAAGGATTACTTAAAGTTCCATAATTGGTGGTAATAATTTCATTTCATGGGCAAAATTACCAATTGGTCTCAACGATTGGAATTTTGCCCATGAAATAAATTTATTATCACCAATTATAGATCTTTAAGAATACGTATTTATTAATATATATATATATATATATATATATATATATATATATATATATATATATATATGCATCGTTATATCTTAGAAAGGATTAAATATATTTTACTGGAATTTTCCGGGTTTTTTATATAACACTATTTGACTCTACTTTGTGCATTAAGAATGCATACTTACTCTTCAAGCTCAACAGAGGAATCGTGATTAAATTGATCATAAACTAAAATGACATGCTCATAATTAATTAATCATAGATAAGGATCGAAAGCTCATTAAGTATTGAAATTATGTTCAAATATATCTACATATATATATATATATATATATATATATATATATATATATATATGTGTGTGTGTGTGTGTGTGTGTGTGTGTGTGTGTGTGTGTGTTATTCTCCGATCATTTTTCAACATTCAAGATGAACTTCGACCACTCTAATCTTTTAACTTTCTGTCCTGGAGTAACAAGGTGCCACACAGTTTTCACGTACCATCTGATTTTCTTTCACTGCTCATTGGACTGTCATACCTGAAACTCCTCTCGTATGGCCCAAACGTCTTATGGATTTTCTAATTGATCACTTTAGCTCTAAGTTGAAATGACGACCCTCTTCCTATTTTGACCTCCTGATCCAGTTTTCCTCTCTATTGTTCCCTCTTTTTAAAACTTATTCACCGTTATCTTTATTTTTCTTCAATAGACTTTGAAGATGGAAACCAGAGTGTGAATATTGGTGCTGTTACTGAAAGCCTGAAGGATCTTCTTTCTCTCACCATTGCTCAGTTGAGAAGACAGTGTGTCTGAGACAAAACAGTTTTAATCTGCTCTCTTTTTAACTGAATAACTCAGAGGTTTTTTTCAGTGATGCATACGAAAAATGGCCTCTAGATTGCTAAATATCTTATCTGAAAAACTGGAAAAAAGAATTTAGTTTAGTGTTTTCTTCAGATATTAAACATTTTGTCGAATGGATAATTATGCTGTTACATGATGTGAATAATTTTGGTGGTATACCCGGTATATATATATATATATATATATATATCGGCTCTGCGATTCCTCAATTCAAGCATCTATCCATTACTCCACCGTGCCTCCTCTCTCTCTCTCTCTCTCTCTCTCTATCTATATATATATATATATATATATATATATATATATATATATATATATATATATATATATATATATAAAGAGAGAGAAAGAGAGAGTGAGAGAGTGGAGGCACGGTGGAGTAATGGATAGAGGCTTGGATTGAGGAATCGCAGAGCCGAGTTCGAATTCCAGTCGAATCCATTACATTCACTTACGTGCTAATACTCTTAGGAAAGGTATGAATCCTCTTACTTTCCCTCCAGCTATGGAGAAAATAGCAGGACAGACTGGGTTCTATAGCCTTGGATGGCAACTGGTCTAGGAAAAGGACAACTCTGAATTCAAAACCTGCAGAGGGTCGTTTGGGAACCTTGTAGCATTCGGTGCACCAGGTCTCTGTATTCGTCCCTTCAAAAAGTGTGGATGGTCCTGCACGAAACCTTCACCACTATAATCAAATCTCATGTGCCGGTGTCGGGCTGTCGGTTTCCTGGAATCTGATCTGCTTGACCCTCATACGTCGAATCTTGACGGGAGAGTCGATTATATATATATATATATATATATATATAGTATGCACATATTCTGTAGAGACACATAGTCTGTAAATCGTTTCAGCTAACAATAATATGTTTACTTTACTCTTCTGGTGGCTTCTATATTTTTGGTTCCTATGGTGATAGAACATCGCCAGTTGGTAAGGTCTTGGTCTTGTATTTCAAATGATTTAGGATCAAGTCCTGTGACATTCAGTTTTGTTTTGAGTTATTCCTTGAAATCTTCGAAGAGCATAACATCCCGTTCTTTTCCCTAAAGTTTGCTGAATAAAACTTGACGTCGACACCTTGATTCTTTCATTCTTCCTATTGTGAGTGTGACGTGTTATGAAAGCAGATAGCCTAAACACGCATATACGCATATATTATGGTTAATTTCCGCCTAGCAACAGAATAAAGGTCACGTGGGAGTCTTATGACATTTGGGGGAGGCAGGTCAAAATGTTGACTGACCCAATTGCCCGTAACGACAAATTTTTAGACAGAAGCTAGATAGGGGACGGATGTAAGCTAGAATTCGCGCCAAAACTTAAGACACGTGACAGTCAGAGATTCACTCGAGAATCAGTTGCTGAAGCCGAAGCGCTGATAGTTTATGAACGGAAAGATAAGACGCATTTGATAGTGATGTAACTTATCCAGTTCAACCCAGGAAACTCCGGACAAGAAATATAAGCAATATTCCTGTTCGAGAATCCCAAATTGAAGACGCAGAGAAAGTTATACGCTGAGGATTCAGCCTGCGTTTAAAGAAGAAGGGAAACCAGAGAAGAAAACATGTATCTCTGTTACAAGTTGAATTGTGTAAAGAAAAGAAAACGAATATGCAGAGAGGAAGAAAATATATATCGCTGTTACAAGTTGAATTGTGTAAAGAAAGCAAAAGGAAAACCAGAGAAGAAAGTGTATACCTTTGTTATAAGCTGAAATGTGTAAAGAAGAAGAAGGAAAGAAAGAAGAAAACCAAAGAGAGGAAGAAAGTGTACATCCCTGTTGCAGTGAGCCGGATTTGGAAACCGAGCTGTCTACAGAAGAAAAGGAAGGAAAGAAAAAGGCGAAACAAAGAGAGGAAGAAAGTGTATACCTCTGTTACAGCCGGACAGTGTGTGAAATTGTGTTTGTGTCGAGAAAAGAAAAGAAAGGACATTGATATAAAAAAAAGAGAACTGAATATAAAAGATAAGTAATCATATTTTGGACCCGTAGTAGAAAGATATACATACATCCATGAATATTATGTTCTTGCAAACACATTTCCACATGTAAAAAAATAATTATAACTCCTATCCCATCTCTTTTGTGTATGCGTTGGCTTCTGCATTCAATTCATAGTAATTCATACTTATATTTTTTTGTATGTTCGGGTTCAGTTGAATCCATTTTGGTGTTAGGCAATTTTGATATCCCAACGTAAGTTTTGAGATCTGGTCGTCGGATGTTTTAACTCATACTTATCTGTTCTTTTATTTTGATATCTGTATATCAAATTGTACATATTAAAATTCTTGTATAAAAATCGCTAAGCCTTGTATTGTGGATCAGTATTCGTGTTGAAAACGAAGCGGACCTGGGAAAGATTACTGTTCG